TCACCGCCGTCGCCCGCCGCCATGGCGCCCCACTATCGGAGCCCTAGCCTCGCCCGGCAAGAGAAGGGCATCGATTTTTTTTTTTTTGGTAGATGGGCCTCGATTGATTAGTAGGGGGCGGAGATGGGCCTCGATTGTTTTTGTTGGATGTTGAGGCCGATAGCACCAAACCCCTGCCTCGATTGATTGGTTAGATGGCCCTCCGCACCAATTAACTGAATGTGTACTGAAAAAAAATGACATGGGTTGAAGAAAAAGGTAACCCATGAAAATCGATAAAGAAACCAATAAAAATAAAGAAACACAATAAAAACCAGGATGAAAAACATATAAAATCTTAAAAAGTAACCCCTCAAAAAAAAATCTTAAAAAGTAAAAATAAAGAAAACAAATGCAAAAGAATGAAAATAGAGAAAACCGAGAAAGGAACAAAAAGAAATAAGAAAACCAATGAAAATCCAGAAAGAAAAAATGAAGAAGGAATGAAAAAAATAGTAAAATCCAAGAAAAGAAACAAAGAGAAATGAAAACAGTTAAAGAGACGAAAAAATTGGTGAAAAAACGAAGAAAGGCAAAAAAATAAAAAATATGAAGAAACAAAGAAAACAGAAAAAGGAAAAAACAAGAAGCAACCAGTACGTCGACCACCACGTCTCGACCGAGAAGGAGAAGAAATCGCCTTGCTCGACGCGAAGAAGAAAATGGGCTGGCCCGGTAACTACACGGCAGGGGAAAAGCTTTAAGCATGACAGACGATGCACTCGCTATAAGAAAAAATATATAGGTTTTGCGTCAAATATGGTAGCTCGATTCAACCTGCACGGATCAAGGCGACGCCCGTTACTATCGGATTAAACCCTGTCTCGCTGACTAGGACAGTCGTTGTTCTCTTAAAATCATCATCTCACCCTAAAAAACATCCTATTAAAGCATATGTATTTCCTTAATTATGTTTCTTAGAGCATCTATAACCACCCATGTGGACAACTCGTACAACAAGGAGAAAGAAAAAAGCCTAATCTTATGTCAGGACTGTCCCGCACCCATCAAAGCCACATCCACAACCACATTTATTTCTTCCCATTCTATCTGGCACCCATCAAAGCCATACCGACAACCACATTTCTTTCTTTCCACTCTGTCTATCTCTCTCTCCTTTTTGATGAGGGGTGCACATCGCCATTGCGCCAGGGACCGAGTCTTGATTGCCCATCGCTGCCACTATGCGTCGTGCCGACCCGCCACAAGCGGACGCTAGCAAGCCTGCGCCACCATCGCATCTCCTCTCCCTCGTCTCCTCCGCAGCTCGCATCCCCTGTGCGTGCCAGGACGTCGCGCTCACGCATGGTCGGCTCCATCGCCTTCACAGCCCTGCAGGTCAGCGACTTGTGTGTAGTCGCCGGCAGTAGAGGAGTAGAAGGGAAGGCACAACTTGTCGCGTTGTGTTTTCTTTATAATGTGAAACTAGGTCCCCGTGTCTATGTTGTGTGCCACTAATGTGCATAACAAACTTTGAATTTTTATCGCATAGAAGTGAATTCTAGTAGCAGTCCTCGACCTACACTTGCATGTGTTGAGTATTCCCTTTTCTATTTTAGATAAATTCATCTACCTATGAACACAAGCCATCAGACAGGACATCTCAATCTATGATGAGACTGTTTGTAAACATCTACACAAGAGTACAAGGCTACCACAATAAATTGAGCAGAGTACACTAGTAGACTTTGCACTTTCTCTTACAAATAAGCCGCGGCACACCAATGTCATGTGCTACTCTATATTTCTGCATACGCATAGACCTTGGAGATGTGACCCAACCCGGGGGGGGGGGGTGTTGCAGACTCCATGCCAGCGCCACCTTAGTTATTTCCCTCGTTGCTTGGACTCTTTGGAAGCAAATTGTTTTCCCCATATAATCGAATGTCAGAGCAATAGTAGAGAAACTCCAAACAACAATGACTTTGTATCATTGAACATCTTAATTACTTCTTGACCCCAAATTGGAATCACAAATACAAAAAGTGTCAAGACGAGATAAGTGTTACACAATCTTTTATATCTCGAAATTCTCACAGTTAGCAGCGATTCAAATGTAAGAACAAAGTGCTCTCGAGTCATAGGGCGCCATTTGTTAAAACTTCAAAGCATTAACTCTGTTCCAGGAAAGTGCATTTCTTCAATTTTTAGTCCTGGATAAAGTGGCAATGGGTAAGATACAAGTGATATGGATATCCAAATGTACATGCAAGTATTTATCAAGTCAACATTTGATGCATGTCTAAGGGGAATTGCAGATGAAACACTATAGAAACTAACATAGTATACCTCATCGTTATCGCCATCATCATCTTCCTTCTTTAGTCGAGTTGTTCCATCCTCTCTGCTAATAGGTATCTTCATGTGTCCAAAGGGAGTGTTCACATCAATATGCCCCTTTATGGTGTAACCAGTGCCCTTTCCCCTTATCATATCCCACATAGCAGACCCAAAATCCTTAGGCCTGAAGCTGATCGGCAAAGTCATGGTGGTTACTTCCTGCTTCTTGATGTTTGTAGACTCTTTCGTCTCAGCAGAAGCAATGCTCACATTGGAGAGCCAGATCTCATAATCCAGGGCATTCAGTCCCAGGTCGAAGTCATTCTTGTTGTCGAGATTCAGATGTAGAGTCGCGGTCGCCTCCTCGAAAGAAAACTTCTCAAACTTGATCTTGCTAATATCAACATCTGGCTTGTAAGGCACCGGGATCTCACCGGCTTTCTCGAGAGGTAAGGAGATCCTGCCGATGACTGGTATGTCAACATGGAGAATAACTTTGACCAAGTAAGGGATGATGCTCCCGGGCTTTATGTCACCATATGTGCTCTTGATGTCATCATAGATGAGCAACACGGGGATTTTGACAGTCTCTGAGCCATGTGCATCGATGGTTCCAGCATCTGGGATTGCTCCGGACATGAGCTTCCTCCCTTCGCTTTCAATAAGGTATTCGATGTCGACAAGAGGGATGGGTACAGGGTTTGGGTTTGTAATCAGAACATCAGCAATGAGCTCTACCTTCTCAAGACTAATTTGAGGTATGTGGATTCCAGTAATGTCAGCAGTAGGCTTTCCAAAGCTGACTGCTTCTTCAATCTTTTCTCCAATGTCTGAGATGAAATCCTTAACTTTGTCGAAGAATCCTCCCTCTCCTTCATCCTGGTCTTTGTCAGCTTTCTTGGGGTTGTCAGAGGATGACATGCTATGATACAAACAATAGTTTACTTATCAGTTTCTAATAGAAGTAAAATTTAGAGAACATACATTAAGGAAAACTACATGGTATTGCATTGAGAAAAAAAACGACAATGGCAAAATAGCTTCAGAATCAACGGGAAAAACCTAAACAAGAAACGACCTAGAGCTTGGCAATACATAAAAGTAGCATATTTAGAACAAAAAAATACTATTCCAATACTACATCCCTAGCCCGTTTTGCCTTTAAGAGGAGCACTTGTAACAATGTCTGGATCAAGGAAAATAGGTGATTCCATTAGGTACTCACAACATCATGGCTCGGTATTTTGTTATCATTGGCAACCAACATATTTACTAAGTTGGAAGAAATAAATACAGATGATATGGCAACGGCTTGTCATCCCTTAGCTAAAGAACGGGCGTGCTAGGATTAAGTGATACAGTTGAGAAAACAAATGAGAACTTGTATCAATAATAGGTGTATAGGTAACATTCAATGCTCGACATTAAGGTGGATTATGATGATGTAGCCTTTTAAACTAGCCTTTGCCTATTTTATTTTGTTTGGCCAACCCTTTTTTTCTATGTCTGTGGTTATTTTTCAGAGTAGATCATAAAATAAGTTCAACACAATACATTTCAATAGATAGACACATCCAAAATAGTCAAGCATCCTCGGTGAAGAACGGCAGAAGGAACTTTTGTATTTTTCTTTTGTCATTGACATTTTGTAAAGCTCTTTTTAGTAGACCTACTAACCTATTTAACATTAGCAGTGAGAGCCTATTGCACATCTGGAATAGGACTAGTAAAAGTAGACGCCATAAGATAATCAACTCATTCAAATTATATGGCAAATATAATGGTGATGAATTTCAATACTTAGCTCCATGCATGTAAAATTAAGTATCACATGTAATTTTGCACAAACAACATCTGAATTAAGTATAAAGTTCAACATGTCTCATTTGACGTGCCAGTTTCATATGGAATAATTTATTTTGGAGCGTACAATTTCTTGATTGTCCTGCATAGGCTTTGTGCCTAAGCGTCACCTAGACAGTGCTTTGTCAACAGAGCTTGGTATAAATAGGATTTTTCCTATGAATTACATCCGAATATATATAGTTTATAAAGTTTTTGTAAATTTCCTCTTCAAGGATCAGCAGGATCCGTAATTCTATGCCAGGGCGGTCATCTTGATGACCATGCCAATCCCTAACTTACATGAACAACGTTTGGTCGCCCCTCTCCCTTGTTCCTGACCAAAAAAAATGAATCAACCAATCCCTACACATTCTCACTAACACCGAGAGAATCCAGGGTCGAGACCGAGGACTAGAGAATCCACGCATCAAAGGATGGAAAAAGGAAAGGGAACCACATTACAATCACTTAACGTCGGGACGATTCGGGCGAACAGTGAAACTTTTGTTACCTGAGAAATGCGGGCGGAAAGGAGCGATGCGTCTATGGAGAAGAGGAGGCCGGGAGGCGGATGGATGGATCACGCGACCAGCCAACCAGAGGAGAGGAGGAAGAGGAGGAGGAAACGGTGGGGGAGAGAGCACTGGAGCAGTTTGCGGAGGAACGCATGCACAGTAAACCCGGCCGGGCTGGAAAATTTCCACGGTTTATTATCAAGCCACGGCGTACACAGCTCAAAAAATTAAAAATGAACCCACGGCGTAACACGTAAGCTAATCCAACCCGGGGGTCTTCCCCTTTCCCCCTTCCGTCCTTCTCTTCTTCCCCCCACCACGAACGCCGCCCAGCTTCTTCCCCCTCTTCCGATTCCTCGTCTCCGGCTTGCCTGCTCTTCCTCTCGCTCCGGCTCTCCCCCGCTCCCGCATCGCAGGTGCGCCCTCCATCCCTGGTATCTTCCGCACGCGTGCGTCCCCTCTCCGTAGCTGCCGTGCCGGGGGTTCTTTCTAGGGTTCGTGGAATCGCGCTACCGACGTTATCGGTAAATCACGGCAGCCTAAATCAATAAGTTAGCTGGTACGAATCGAGTTCCTTTTGCTCATGCCTGTTTTGGCATAGTAGTTGGCAACAGCCGTACAAACTACAAACCGTTGTCCTTTCTGTCTATTCATCCTCTGTATCAAGCTGCGGTAGTTGGGTACATACATCACACTGAGATTTCCGGCGGCGATGGTTGTCGGAGGCCGTTGTTTTGTCTCTAGAGTTATGCTTTGATCAATTGCTGCCAATCTTGTTGCCCAACCGTACTACTAGTTATGGTAGATTGGGTGGACCCAGTACAACCTTGTTCTTTTGCAATAACTGGTAAATTAGTTTTATTTTTTTACCAGTGGTATAAATTAGGTGATACTAATTGAGTCTTTCACTACTGCCCTGTGTGGAATCAAAAGCTGGCTCTGCCCAAGAAAGATTTTAGATGAGAGCGGCCGGACAACCTTCGCCCATTTCAAGTACTACTAACTGCAGTAGCACCTGTCAAGTCATATATGACATTTTAGAACAGTTATATAATAATGACTTGCCTCACCCCCTCTTTGAATCTACTCCCTCTGTTCACAATTGTAAGACGATTTGGCAGTTTAATTTAAACTGCCAAAATGTCTTACATCTGTGAACGGAGGGAGTAGCAACTTACCTGTAATTATTCTCCATCAGGTCATCGTCATTGTCTATGCTGATAATTGTAATACTGTTTTTCTTCTTTCAGGAAGTTATATCTAGTCACTGACCATGAAAACCTCCAGCGAGGTTCCCTTTTATCACTCGTTGCCCGTACCAGGAGCTCAAGACAGCCTCAAGGATCAGATCCACTCCAAGGTTATGGGCACGATAGGCAATGTCATGAACTCCATTGATCGAAAGGCACTGCCTCAGCAACTGGAAGGGGCATGGGAAACAGCTGGAAATGTCGTTAACTCCATTGAGTCAAAACTGTCCGGGCAGAAGTCGTTTGATTTTGACGGCGGAAATGATTTTCTTGATGGATATGAATGTCCTGATGATTATTGGGACTATGAACAGCACAAGGCACAAAAGCCAGTTAACATTAGAAACCTGCTGGGTGGCATAGTTGCTATCATTGGCCGCACTTGCAAAAATGATGGCATTCAACAATCAAAGGACTCTAGTGTCTCATTCTTGGGGTCAGGTAGTGATGGAGATACATCCTTGCATTCGTCTGTCTATGCGCCAAGTGCTCCTCCTTTGCTGGATGAAGAAGCCCTGAGTTACAATATTTATAGGGTTGTTTTGGAGGCAGAACCACCAGAATGGCTGCCCGATAGCTATGCTGACTCGTGCATGCAGTGTTCTGCTTCTTTCACTGCCATTACTCGTGGAAGGCATCATTGTCGATTCTGTGGAGGGATATTTTGCAAGGCATGTTCAAAAGGCAGATGTCTTTTGCCAGCCAAGTTTCGTGAGCGAAACCCACAAAGGGTCTGCGATGCATGCTATGATAGGCTTGATCCATTGCAGAACTTACTGATAAATTCTGTCAGCAACGCGACACAAACTGCAAAGCATGATGTTATGGATTGGACTTCTGCGAGAGGGTGGTTGAATTTGCCTATTGGATTAACATTGGAACACGAGATATACAAGGCAGCAGCATCCCTTAGGAGCTACAGTCAGGTGTCCAAATTATGTTTCCATTTTCTCTGCCATATTTACATGTTTAATGGCAATACCTACTTAATAAAAAATAAATACTGCATTGCAGGTTTCAAGGATAAACCCGAGAAAATCTATTCCGCGTGCAGTCCTTAGTGGAGCAAGTGGACTTGCTATCTTGACAGTTGTAAAAGCTGGTGCATTTCTTACATACAAACTTGGAACTGGCTTAGTAGTTGCTCGTAAATCAGATGGGTCATGGTCTCCACCCTCTGCTATAGCTTCAGCTGGATTAGGATGGGGAGCACAGGTTAGTAACTTGGTTGCAGAATTCTTCTCTGTATCTTTCATGTGGTCAACATCTAATCTATGAATTGATTAGATACAACATCTTTTATTGTTAGACTGGTTCCCTTTGATGTGGGGATAATTGCAGACATAATCTACTACTTGCATGGCATAGGGCAAATGGTGTATGATAAAAATGTTTTTTTAACCCTGCATTTCTCCTATCTAAAAATTTCCTAGATGAAAACATGAAACACACACTTGTTTCATGTCTTAGGATGGAATGGTTTATTTGTTTCTATCAGTGTTATTTTTTAAGTGAAACCCTGAAACTGTGTTTGCATTTAGGTATATTTCCTCTTGTTTTTGCCTGATTTTAGATAAAACATCAGGTTGAAGTTGCTATGTTTGTGTAGAACATGGTCTTGGGCTGAGCAAAAACATGTTGGACAGTGACTGTTGCCTAAAATCGATAATTTATGATTTCGGACATGGTTCATGTACTTCCCTAGTAATTTCAATATTATGTGTTCAGATCTCTTACATGTACATGTTTTATCTTAACATACAGCTTGGCGGTGAGTTGATGGATTTCATCATAGTGCTTCATGGTCCTGAAGCTGTGAAGACCTTCAGTAGCCGGATGCATTTTTCACTCGGTGCAGGCTTAAGTGCTGCAGCAGGACCTGTTGGTAGAGTATTAGAAGCTGATGTGAGAGCTGGTAATAAAGGCTCTGGAGTTTGCTATACATATAGTCACAGCAAAGGTAATGTTCTTGTTCAATTCAAAATTTTAGGCTCCTTTTATCATGTGAAGTCAAGCTCTGTTTGTATTGCGTTTTTAATTTTGAGAAAACACGAAAGCCTTGCATTTCGATGCATTGATAGAAATAATTTGTACAAGCCTAAGAAGGCCAACACCTGGATATTACAACACGACACCCTAGTTGCTTTGCTAGGCACTGCGGCCACCGGGGGCTACTTAAGTTTTACATTCTCGAAATTAGGAAAGCTAACTTCTATTTGAATGCTCAGCACCAGATCTGTTGTATTTCGGTTTATTGGGTACAAATTTACTGCCCTGCAAAAGTTTTGAACGTTTTTTTGTGTAGCGGAGG